TATATATATATATATATATATATATATATAAATATTTTCAATTATATACGTAAAATATGTTATATATATGCATATTAATTAAGCTAGCTGTGTACGATCTCTCGGTCGGATGTGGATTATATGAAGAACATATAGTGATTTGTAAGATGACATCCAGTAAGTGATACGAAATGTTAATTACGTTCAGAAGGTAATTGGTGATATCATCTTGAAACTAATCAGTGTTTGCCCTTTTCATTCTGAAAAAAAAAAACAAAAGAAAAAAAAGATAATTTGAGATCCAGGGGAATAATTATAATCTGTGAAGGTAATACAGGTTTTTAGTCGACCCATTTTAGCATTGACGTCGGCATAGGGCTACGAAATCATTTAAAGATGGCCAAATGTGGATGATACTAAGTAGATGATTGGTCATGTACCTAATATTCAGTAGATTAATGGGGTTGGATGATATAAGTATGGATCTATTATGTACTCATTATTCAGAAGGTAATTGGTAATATTGGTGCTATTCAGTGATGGCTAAGTAGATGTTATTTAATGTTGGGTAAGTTATATAGATGTTATTCAGAAGGTAATTGTTTAATGTTTGATGCTAAGTGGATGATTGGTTATATAAATATATTCAATAGTTATTGATTATGTTAACATTAATGAACACTACACATTTTTCAGCGCAATGTAACCCTTGGTGGGACTGCTGTTCACATTGGATAGGTGCCAACGATGAGGAAGTGGAGGGGAGGTTTGTCTGGACAGAAAACAACCGTGACGTCACTTCCTACTCCAACTGGCACCCGGGTGAACCTGATAACGTTGGAGAACAGGACTGTGTATATCTGTGTCGTGACGGGATTTGGGGAACAGGCTCGTGTCAACATATATATTCATACATATGTGAAAAAGACTAAAATGTCACAAGCTGTTTAATAGACTGAAAGTCAAGAATCACCAGACAAATCACTGAATAATACAGACACCTATTAGTAAAACTGCTACTCGGTACTTGTGTATTTATTATTTATTGAATAAAAATGGTATAGGAACTATATATGTTGTTTAATGTATTCCAACAAGCCCCATTTCAACATGATTATTAATTATACCTAATTATTCACCTCCTTTCAATGGCACATACTCCTTTCTATCCATGTGAAAGTGGATGTGTAGTTACATGCATCAACAGACGCGAAGTGTCAGTATGAGAAGGGATCACCTCATTTCACCCTTTAAAAAATACGTAATATAACCTAGAATAGGGAGATTTCTTGGAATAAAAAGGCAAAAAAAGTTTTATTTTGCTCTGCTATTCATAGTATGGTTTTACAAACGTTAACCCGTCTAATTATAAAATAAAAAGAAATTTGTTGCCATGGAAAATTTACTGTGAAATTGAAAGACATCAGTGATTGTCATTTGACCAGTCAATATGGTAATACATATATATTTTTTTTAGCAATTATAAAAATAAAATTTTTATGACCAATTAACAAAATTTTAAATTTTAAACCAATATAATATACAATCCTTAACAGTGCTTCCAATAGGTAAAATGGAAACTTTCTTTTTGAAATGCACATAAACCTTTACTCTGTTTACCGGTAATTTCATAAAGGAGTTTTATGAAGAGACTTACTTTTACAGTTGACGACTGACTTTTACAATTGAAACACATACAAACTCCATATACTAAAATGTAAAAGTCAGCTGTCCCCTCTATCGAATGTTTGGGGTTTCAAAGTTTTTGTCCTGTTTGTCCATCCGTCTGTCTGATAGATTATTTGTTTGTCTGTTTTTTACTTTAAACCTTTCCCATAAATTTTGACTGAGTGGGACTATGGTATTCCTTGGGGTATTTCCAAATTCAACCTTTTAAATCCTGACTTTGAACAAATTTTTACAATAAATACAAAATTAAACATCTCTTATCACTCGATAATAAAGATTAAATTTTGAGTGGTGTGATATAGGAAGCATAGTGAAACATGACCAATTAAATAATAAATTAGTCATCTGATGCATAAAAACTCATTGACAGTTCAGCAAACTTTTTTGACATATTTTATTAATTGGTATTATTAAGCTCAGTAAATATTTTCAAAATCAAAGAAAAAATCCATCGTAATCAATCAAGCTTAATATTTGTTTACAAAGAACTGTTTAATTATGCAATAATATGAATATTGCTGGTGAGGAGTAACGCAAAATGGGACTGCGACCTAAATATCTTTTTATTTTCCACAGAGCCAAAATGATTTTAAACAACCGTTTTGAGTGTGTTGCATAAGCAATACATGTCCCCTACCGGGTTCCCCTTTTTCTTCAGGATATCATATAATATATTTAAAGATATGCAAAAGTTATGTCCAAGGTAAAACTGATAGATTTTTAAGATTTTTAAGCTTAAATGCCTTAAAATTAATAAAATAATCCACATTTAAACGAAAATTCAACTCATTTTTCCACCGTCTTTTCCTCGCTTCATATTTTTGTCGACAATCGGAAGTTAGCGAAGTTCGAACCCGATCTTAATTAAGCGATTTTGAAAGATATTCAAAATGCCATAATTCTGTCAAAAATCAATGAAGCAAAGCGAAATTCAAACTTGATCTTTAACTCATTAAGATACACTCGCATACCAAAATTCAGCTCAATATCTGCAAGCGTTTAGAAAAAAGTTAACGCAGAGGAAACATATTGCCCCCCCACACCACCCCCACCCCCCACCCCCGGTTTCACCGGTAGGGGACTAATAACCCTATTTATATTGGATTCCGAAACTTCATAAAAATCATTGCAAACAAGGATACATTGCAGGTTCCAGTAAATGTTCAACCAAGCATCTTTCGTTACTCCTTACTAATATAAATGTATTGACGGTAGTTAAGGAAAAAGTTCATGGTACTGTGCAACAATATGTTCAAAAATTGTGAATCAAATGTTGATGCTTAAAAATTCATACAACCTTTGGACAATTTGAAATCACAAGAATCTACCAAATCAACATTTAAAAAACTTACGACTTTTCAACATTTTACACAACCATTTTCCACAATTAATTAAAGTTCAGGTTTTTTTTATATCATTGACAGCTGCTTTTTAAATAAAAATGGAACTCGTAAATTTACCAACCTCGTCATTGGTCATTTGCAAAACTATTTTGTTAAAACACATTCTGATTGCACACAAAAGTACTCGGAAGTTGACATCAAAGAGATGCCCGAGTTTCTAATTGACAATATCTATGTGTTTTTTTGTGACCAGGTAAATTACCTAAATTGTAAACCACTTTCAGTGCAAAATCTACTACAACATATTCTGTGCATCAAAAGTATCAGGCTTTCAATGAACCTTTTTTTTTATAGTATAAGTTAAGATGGAACCCCCCCCCCTGTTGCCACGCCCCTGAAATTATAAAAAAGGATTGTCCGTGAGCATGACTAAACAAAGAATTCTTAAGATTTTCTTTCAATCATTTATAGCAATATTCAATGTATCTCTGTACGCTCTAGATGCATAAACACATATTTGAAGTTATAATTTTCTAGAATGTTTTGTATGATATCACGATCTATATATTGCAAAATACTTAGTTTTATATTGTGTCAATCAAACCAATCCAAAAATTTGAAATTTCAATAACTTTTTGATGAAACAAAATATCTATATTTATATTCGTATGAAATGCTATCACAACATATGAGTCCTTATATTATTCAGAACATGCATCTAAACTTCAATTCTGTGTCGATGCACCTTTAAGATAAAATAAAAAGATTTTTAATACAATTCCGAGTTGTTTTTTTTTTATTTTCAAAGCGTCTGATTATAGTATAATTATTGCTGCTACACTCAGAGGTCAGAGAAATCGAAACATTTTCTACAATAAAATCAAATCGTTATATTTTGTCCTTTTGTTCAACTCAAAATATCAAGGATCATTAATGCTTTCGAAATTATGTATGAAGTGATGTTTTTTGTTTTAGATAAGTAATGCATCATAATTCATTGCTAACGACTGAATAACAATGTAAAACTTCTAAAAGATTTTAAAAGAAGGAATTATTGAACTAAAAGAGACAAGAAGAAAAGATAAAAAAGAAGATAAAACCAGATTTAGGATATTTATGATATACATTTGAATTGTATCGCACTTATAGTAAGGATACAATTTAGGAGCTTAGGATAATATACAAATACAATTTTTGTTATCAATGCTGCAATATATGGATGAATGAAAAGAAGTTGAGATTTATTAATAGAGCTTAATATCATGCTTTAAATCTTTGAAGCCTTTACCATGTTTGGATGCACCATCTATCTAATTTTGTGCTCTATGTTGACTTCGACAAATGCCGTACAGTTCCAGTCTCATTATTTCGCAGAAACTGACTTAGATGACGCAGTATTTAATGATTCTCTTCTGTCCGTGCACCATTCTGAATCTCTCACGTTGTGTTTCGCTATGTGTGGCCAGAATTGTAATTGCCTTGGCTACAATGATAGAAGAAAGAAGTGTCATCTTTATAAATCATGTGATTCAGTGACTATTACTGATTACGAAACTGGGTGGAGGTATTACGATTCAATGCTGGAAGGTACAAAATATTTCCTCAAAAATAGTAAGATAATATTAGTCTTGAAATACACTGGATATACACAGAAACACGGCTTAATTGGTATATATATTTTTTACGAGAATGTGTTGATCTATATATGATCTTGTAATAATAATATGACGACGAAAAAAATTTGTGTACGCATTTTTGAATCACCCTCACACTATATCATTTAAATATCACAAGTATTTAAATTGAAGTACAAGCAGTTTCAACATATACAGACCAGACTCTGGAATATATATATTAAGTCTAAAATAAACATGCTTTTTTTCTCTCTGACTAGTCTTTACATTCAAAGAAAAACAAAACCAGCTAAAGTAAATAAGATATATATAAATATATATATATATATTACATATTCAGAATATGATCTTTACAGGAGAGGGTTGGCTATTGTATGGAACTCATTATTACTTACAAATCAAGAATAGCAGCACATGGACAAATGCAAAGGTAAGAATAATTGGGATGTCGGTTATCATACAACCTGACACAAATAAATGCACGCGCCTCAGAATAATGCAGTTTTATTATGACATCCAATCAGTCTATTGGAGATTAATTAACATAATTTGAAATTTTCAGCTTGGGTGTGAAATGTTAGGGGCCTACTTAGTTTCCATAGAAACGGAAGAGGAGAACACGTGGTTAACAGAAACCTTCCTGCCAGCCTGGGATCCTGGTACTGTTTTTATTGATGTTGACTGATTAAACTGAAGTCTCTAATTCTTGTCCTATTTATATGAGTCTGCAGGGTAGCGAGTCTCGGGAACTAAAATGGCGGATACATTTCTTTTACGAATCGTGTTCAGCTTTAAGTGATATAGAAACTCTTTCGGGCTTGGAGTTGTGATAATAATCTTGGTCACCGTGCGAAACCAAACCTGTCCCGCCGACGAATTATTTCCGAAATGGCAAGAAAAAATAAAAAAGGTGCAAGTCAAACCGCTTCTTATGTGAATGGGGTGTCAGAAAGAATTTACATTATAAAGGGGATATTTTCTGCCTTTCTAACAATAGACAAAAACATAAGCATGGGGGGAGGGATAAAAAGTGACTCACTTGTATTCCCAGAATATTTCACCAATCTTACGACAATTTTATAACATATTTATTTGAGAATTAATTTTTTGAAATCGATTGTTTTAAAATTAATTTTTTTTAAATTTGACTCGTTTATTTAAATTATATATATATGATAAACTTGATTTTATGTGCATAATGTGCATAATGCTATGTAAATATTATTCGTGGGCATGTTAAAGCAATATGAGCTGCATGTTTGACATCGGAAAAAAATGTTGCAAAGTTGTAATAAACTATTTCAATGTCAGAAAAATACATAATTTTTCAACTTATGTTGGTCATATTTGCTATGAAAGAACTTTTTATACGCGTTGATTAAAGCAAAATTGAATTATTGTCGTCCTGTACAATAATGATTTCTTATATAATACTGTATATTCGGTTGTACAAAATAAAATTGAAAATAAAAATGAAAGAAAAAGTGAGCTAGCTCACATACCCCACGCTCCCCAAAAACTTGACGTTGAAGCACATAATGAAAGGCACAGTGCACTTTAAATACATAGTATAGATCAAAAAGGGCAATAATTGCAAAAAAATCTTCACATCAAAATGTCTTAAATATGAGGACATTTAAATGTGGAATGACGTTTCTAGATAAATAATGGAATCAAAATTTCTTGGCATTATACAAATCCAAACATTAATTTGAAGTGGTTGACAAACTGTTCATCTCTATATTCTAAATATGGCAAAAAGTCTAAGTTGGAAAGTGTGGAAATTCCCGGAAAAATAATGGAATCAGAATTTCCTGGTAATGGAATCAGAATTTCCTGGTAATATGCACATCTACACATTGTGTACTAAATACCTGCAAAGTTTGACGAAATTATGTGCAGCAGTTTATGAGGAGTTGTGCTGACAAACTGTTCATCTCTATATTCAAGGTATGGTCAAATGCCTAAGTTAAAAAGTGAGGAAATTCCCGGAAAAATAATGGAATCAAAATTTTATGGTAATATGCACATCTACACATTGTGTCCTAAATACCTGCAAAGTTTGACGAAATTCTGTCCAGCGGTTTATGAGGAGTTGCGCTGACAAACTGTTCATCTCTATTTTCAAGGAATGGCCAAATGCCTAAGTTAAAAAGTGCGGAAATTCCCGGAAAAAATAATGGAATCGGAATTTCCTGGTAATATGCACATCTACACATTGTGTCCTAAATACCTGCAAAGTTTGACGAAATTATGTGCAGCGGTTTATGAGGAGTTGCGCTGACAAACTGTTCATCTCTATATTCAAGGTATGGCCAAATGCCTAAGTTAAAAAGTGCGGAAATTCCCGAAAAAAATAATGGAATCGGAATTCCTGGTAATATGCACATCTACACATTGTGTCCTAAATACTTGCAAAGTTTGACGAAATTCTGTCCAGCGGTTTATGAGGAGTTGCGCTGACAAACTGTTCATCTCTATATTCAAGGTATGGCCAAATGCCTAAGTTAAAAAGTGCGGAAATTCCCGGAAAAAATAATGGAATCGGAATTCCTGGTAATATGCACATCTACACATTGTGTCCTAAATACTTGCAAAGTTTGACGAAATTCTGTCCAGCGGTTTATGAGGAGTTGCGCTGACAAACTGTTCATCTCTATATTCAAGGTATGGCCAAATGCCTAAGTTAAAAAGTGCGGAAATTCCCGGAAAAAATAATGGAATCGGAATTCCTGGTAATATGCACATCTACACATTGTGTCCTAAATACCTGCAAAGTTTGACGAAATTATGTGCAGCGGTTTATGAGGAGTTGCGCTGACAAACTGTTCATCTCTATATTCAAGGTATGGCCAAATGCCTAAGATAAAAAGTGCGGAAATTCCCGGAAAAAATTATGGAATCGGAATTTCCTGGTAATATGCACATCTACACATTGTGTCCTAAATACCTGCAAAGTTTGACGAAATTATGTGCAGCGGTTTATGAGGAGTTGCGCTGACAAACTGTTCATCTCTATATTCAAGGTATGGCCAAATGCCTAAGTTAAAAAGTGCGGAAATTCCCGGAAAAAATTATGGAATCGGAATTTCCTGGTAATATGCACATCTACACATTGTGTCCTAAATACCTGCAAAGTTTGACGAAATTCCCCAGCGGTTTATGAGGAGTTGTGCTGACAAAAAAAGAGGACTGACTGACTGACGGACTGACTGACTGACTGACTGACTGACTGACGGACGGGTCAAAAACATTATACCTCCCGCAACTACTTGCGTGGGGTATAATAAAATATTATACAAAATAAAATTCTTTAAAATGCAGCTCATATTACTTTAAGGCAGCATATAAAAATCATTTCAGGAAATATAGACTTTTTCGGGAAAAATTCAGTTAGATAAATTACCAAAACCGCTGATAAACCGTAAACTATTATTAACTTATTACTAATAAGGATATCTAATGGAAAGACATGCACCACCACCACAGCATCACGTGACTTCTATTAATAGCAAAATGTACCTTGATAAAAAAAAAAAAAACAAGAGGCCCACGGGCCGTATAGGTCACCTGAGCATTCTGCAACAACTTTCCAGTTATTGAATATATAATCACTATATAATCAACAGAGCCCCTCCCCCACACACCACAACCCCTGACCCTGGGACCATAAAATTCACAATATTGGTAGAAGCACTCTTGCTCATCATAACTATGTACTTAGTTAGCTAATTTAATACCTAGGTGCAGAGAAGAAGATTTTCAAAGAATTCATGTATTTTTACTATATAATCAATAGAACCCAACCCTAACACAAGAACCCCTGACCCTGGAACCATAAAATTCACAATTTTAGTTAAAGCACTCTTGCTCATCTTAGCTATGCACTTCGTTAGTTTATTTAATAGCAGCGGAGCAGAGGAGAAGATTTTCAAAGAATTCATATATTTTTTACAATATAATCTATAGAGCCCCCCCCCCCCCCTACACCAGAAGCCTTGACCCAGGTACCATAAAATTCACAATTTTGGTAGAGGCACTCTTGCTCATCATTACCATGCACTTATTTAGTTTATTTAATACCTAGGAGCATAGAAGAAGATTTCCAAAGAATTTGTGTATTTTCACTATATAATCAATAGAGCCCCCCCCCCCAACACCAGAAGCCTTGACCCAGGGACCATAAAATTCACAATTTTGGTAGAGGCACTCATGCTCATCATAGATATACACTAAGTTAATTTATTTAATATCTAGGAGCAGAGAAGAAGATTTTCAAAGAATTCATGTATTTTTACTATATAATCTATTAATCCCGTGGGGATCCGGGTTAGAATAGGTCCTCTGTACCCCTTGCTTGTCGTAAAAGGCGACTAAATAGGACGGTCCTTCGGATGAGACCGTATAAACCGAGGCCCCGTGTCACAGTAGGTGTGGCACGATAAAGATCCCTCCCTGCTCAATGGCCCTGAGTGCCGAGCATAGGCCTAAATTTGCAGCCCTTCACCGGCAATGGTGACGTCTCCATATCAGTGAAATATTCTGGAGAGGGACGTTAAACAGTATACAATCAATCAATATAATCTATTAAGCCCCCCACCACCACCAGAACCCCTGACCCTGGCGCCATAAAATTCACAATTTTGGTAGAAGCACTCTTGCTCATCATAACTAACTACTTAGTTGGTTTATTTAATACCCAGGAGCAGAGAAGAAGATTTTCAAAGAAATAATGCATTTTCACTACCTACTTATTTAGCCCTGCCCTAGCACTAGAACCTCTGACCCCAGGGCCATGAATTTCACAATTTTGGTAGAGGACTCAATGCTAATAACAATCATGCCAACAGTTTGACTGCTTGATGTTCAGGAGTAAAGAAGAAGATTTTTAAAGATTGCATTAATTTTAGTGGTTTTGGCCCCACCCCTCAGGCCCCAGGGGGGCAGGGATCATGAAATTCACATTTTTTGTTCCCCTTAACCCATAGATGCTTTATGCCAAATTTGGTTGAAATTGGTTCAGTGGTTGCAGAGAAGAAGCTGAAAATGTTCAAAAGTTTACGAACGACGTACAACATACGACGTACAACGACGGACGAAAACAGATAGCAATAGGTCACTTTTCTCAGGTGACCTAAAAGCTAACAGAACAACAATCTCCTGAAGTTTAATATTTTCTTTGATTAAATAATGTAGTTGAAAAACATCTATTTTATTCTTAAAAGTGCTAGATCCTACTGTCTTGTCAGTAAAATGATTTTTCCAAATATTCGCATGACACCTTTCCTGATGCTTAGAATTTTATACATATGAACCGAGATTTTTAGTAAAACCATGCTTAACTTCGGCTAAACAGCACTTTCCAATTTTTTTTACAAGGTAAACGTTCCATATATACAAATTTAATGTTTTGAATTATCCACCTTATTGTTGTTCTGTTGCATTATTTTTGTCACAACTGACAGAGGAAAGGCCGACCGGGATACATATATAGCTGACTGTCTTCGAAAGAGAATATAATCAATGAAAATAATTTAGCATACCTGTTTTATTACCTGAATTCCATATGAATTTCACATATTCTCGATATTCGCTTTTAAACTTAACTAATAACATATAATTGTAAATGCCTTATTAGCCAAATTCTCTTTACACGACAGTTCAATTTCCAAGTTACTTGATGTACACATATAACGTCATTGGTTAAAGACTTTAATTAAATTGACGGATACAGCATAACAAAATGAAAACATTATGTTTTTGTTAATGTTTAAAAGTTTCGTTTCATTTTCTACAGTAAAATTACATCTATAAATACTTATTTTACGAAAACTTGTGTTCTAACTATGACGTCATAATGTATAACTTATTTAGTCAAGGTGGAATATTCTGTTTGCTTCCTTATTGCAGCCCGGAGGACTGGGCTGCTCCATACATGTAAGTTTAAGTCTTGGCTTATGGGGATTTGGATGGGAGTAGTTATTCAGAATTTAAGGTTTTCTAAACATTGAAGAGATTGTTCATCAGAATGTTTTTTCCCTTTATAAATTACAAAATACATTATATATTTACTTCCAAAAGGTTTTTATGTAAAAATATATATGTTTTTCATATTCAATATATGAAGTTGCTTATCATTCACGATCGAAAAACGACGGATCCCTTTTTTAGAACATCGAATTTTACTTCTCGCATAAAAACGTACTCTGCACAGTTTGTGTTTTGTATTCTAAATTTGAAAAGTAATACATTTTTGAATATAAATGATGTATGTGTCCAACTTCAATTCATATTTTTATGTAGCCAACATTTACTTGAGGAACTGATCAAGTTTAAAATAATATCGTTTTTTTTTATCCGACTATAAGGTTTCAAAATATTCGCGACTATCGTCTCCATCAATAAGACGCATACCCTTTCACACTTATCGAAGCGGTGTGATGGTCAAGACTCTTTCATTCTTTACTTAATAATATTTCCCGGGCGACAATTGTTGGTTACATCAATGTTTTTCTTTTATCCTCTGTGTTAGTACTGTACCGACGTACATGGTTGAATAGGAATTTACTGAATATTTTGATAACGTTTTAGGAAACATCCGTTGAATTTTGAAGACTTTTGTAGAAGAATTTGTCGCGTATAATATTTCCTACAAAAAATCAAAAGGCAAGCGATGAAATTTTAACCTAAATGTTTGGAATGATGGTCGCGGGGGTTGGGTTACCATTGACCATGTTGACTAATTTATTGAATTTTTTAAAGTTTCACAAATTAAAAAGTGTGTGATAGAAAAAAAAACTGAGTAGCGCGCGTAATACTATGTCTTAAAAAAAAATCAATGTTTATGTAATGAGAAAAAAAGGAAAAAAGCGACAGACCAGACTGGGATCCGAACCCGGATCCCTTGAGTCTCCTGACCTGTAAGTTGTTCTTCCATGTGTGCTATCTGGTCAGCAATCCATACCTTTTGATAAAAAAAAGACACATAGTCTATTTGATTGTTTCTGTCTCGAACACTCCCAATCCTCTTTTGGATTGTTTCTTTCTTGAAACACTCCAAACCGTCTTCTTTTGGATTGTCTCACTCGAAACACTCCGAATCGTCTTCTTCTTTTGGATTGTCTCTTTCTCGAAACACTCCCAATTGTCCTCATCTTTTGGATTGATTCTGTCTCAAAGTACCCCAATCCTCTTGTGCATTTTTTCAATAGATTTGATAACAAGAAAACCAGTCATCATAAGGATAATTTTATTTACTTTAGTAACAATATAGAACAGTTTTGAGCCAAAACTTGGGACTTGCGACAGCCGCCGGGTGGTTAGACTTACGTTTAGAAAGAATTTATTTGGGAATCTAATAATACTTTCGTTATCCAGGTTTTGATATTTCCCCGTGTTATGTTTCATACACGCTTTGACCTCAGGGTGTATGGAACTTAATCGGGGTATTTCCCAAAGCAACTTTGATTAAACCTGGATAACTAATAAATATTTTAACTCGACATTTGCACATACGCGTGTCCATTTTTGATATTTGTCTATTACAAAGTTAAATTGTTCATTTCAATTAAAAAATTTCAGTGGAATGTAGTGAATGGTGGCATTGCTGTTTACACTGGATAGGTGCAAACGATATTGAACTGGAGGGGAGATTTGTCTGGACAGGAAACAACCGTGACGTCACTTCCTATTCCAACTGGTACCCAGGTGAACCAGATGATATCGCGGGACAAGACTGTGTACATCTGTGTCGCCAGGGGGGTTTGGGAAAATGCCGGCTGTGGTGTTATGAATTCATATATTTGTGAAATGGATTAAAATATGTTATCAGTTGTGTAAATAATTTGGTTGTTAACAATTATCAGATAAACCATGGATAAAGTTTTCAAACATTATTGAAAAAGACTTTTAAAAATACAAGTTGTGTTACTAGTTGGATTGTCATCAATTCTCAAATGAATTATTGATACGTCTTCATACATTGATGAAAAAGATCTACATGCTGCTTGTACAGAAGCAAAAATGATCTTTTTATATATACGAAATCAAAACAATTATCTGTAGAAGTATCAACCAAAAAATTTAAGATGGATTAATGGATTGATGTATTTGGTTGATTTATATCTCGTTTGCGAATTTTTAAATCTTCTTTAGAGTACCTGACAATGAGTAGCTGCTACCTGTATCGTTTTACCGACATATGTCAGTTGCGGCCGAGGTAAAATATTTCGAGCAAAAGTTAGTATTATAAAAAAGTGTTTTTAAAACTAAATCTGGTTGAATGTTCTGAAATATACATGTATATGTTTTATAAAGAAATATCCTCAAGAGAGCAATACATTTACTTCATTAAAAAATTAAACATTCTTAGCTCAAGGTATCCGACCCAAAGTACATGTACATTGACTATTGAGTGTGCGACAGCAGACCCATAAACTCAATACTAAGCCTCTTCTCTTAATCTTTAAATCTCCCTCTTGAAAACTTAACAGGTTCTGTCGTCAGCAAAACCCCTCAATTTGATATTCAGTTTCATTTCTAACGTTTTTACTTCACTCCAATTCATACCCTCAGCCTCAAGTCACCGTTTCCACACTAAATGAAGTCTTCTTATCAGAATTTTGTGTAAATGCTAAAAAAAAGTATAACTCTATTGCAAATTTCATATCTTACATGTACTAAAGTAAATTAAAATATCGGAAATGAGTAGGAGACGACGAAAGACCCGAATGTAGGGTATTAAAAGTTAATTTAAATCTTATGTTACTATACTCACAGATGACGGACTTTACGATCGTTTTTCATTATGGCAGCCCTTAATCATCTATTTGCTGATTTTGATAGAACACAAATAAATAAACACCACAAAAAATCAAACCTTACCCCCACTGTTGCAGCTTTTGCTTTATGCGTGTTTTCTGAGTACGGATGCTTTCCATATATTAACTGGGGACAGGATAGACGTTAGTCAGTGTACCTCCGGTAGACGTCTTTCGCTGACCCAAGCCATCAACCACATTTTGAAGATTGTAGGTAATTAGTCTCTCAGCGACTCTCTACCATCAGCTTACATTTACCTCTGTCTTTTGGCTTGTCAATGCGTATATCACGGTATTGAAATAGATATTTACTAAATCAATCCAGAACTATTAATTAAATTTGAAACTATTCTGCAAAAATCATGCTTTATACGTTTCGTAAAAAAAATCTTGACTTGAGCCCATTGTAGGGGTGTCTGAGAAAGGAACGAAGGACAATTCTGCATGTTAGATGACTAATCTTTTAGTGAAAAAAGGCATTGTAAGCATATATAAATTAATTTAATTATAAAAAAAGGAAAATGAAATAAAAGGTAGAAACTGAAGCATTGACAGAAGCCTTAATAAAAGCGTATGACTAGGCTGATAAACATCAGAGTCAAGTGCAGATACTCTCATTGTTCGTGAACAACGTCTTCAAAAATGAACTTTGTAAAATGGTGCATGGTTTAACACAGTACAAAATAGATTGTGCAAGAAAAAAATGCATCAACTAATGGTCCTTGCCAAATTATTGATCAGCCAAAGATAAATCGGGTCAGACTTACAAAGTGTCGAATTCAGCATTTTGTCGAGTTTTTGTGCAGTCCATCAATTTTTCAGGTGGTTGGATATGGTTCAAAGACACTCCGTTTATCATCCGGATTACAATTCAAAATTCCAAAAATGATAAGAACAATGATTGGATAGTTATACTGAAGATGAAATGGAAGCAGTAGAATTGTTGCAGAAAATACTGTATAAACTACAATAAAATGGCCTTTCAAGAGACATAACAATGAACTTGATAGAAAAGCTGTCAGATGTGAATCAACACCTTAAATTCGATCTGAAGATGCATGTCACACAGACCAGCACTTGTATTGACCATTGCACAACATATGCCCTATCAGATGAGAAAAATCCAGATTTCAGTGAAATCTATGATATTCAGCATACTGAGAGATGCATGGAATGTAGTAGCACTGTAGCAGTTGATGAAATCTCAAGTTGTTTATCAGCAACAAATTTATCAAGTGACTTGTAGAGAGAATTGGAGCATGATTTTGAACGTTCAAGAAACAATATACAGGAATGGAAGCCCATATTACAAGAACTGTAAACCAGGATATCAGTAAATGCCAGATTATAAAAAATATGAAGAGTAATCAAGCACTGTTGATTTTGGATTGGGCCATGAAATTTCTGCCACAATGTTTTCGTGAATCACAGCAAAACTGGTTTGATAAACAGGGCATCAGCTGGCATGTCACATGTGCAATATTCCTTGAACATCCCAGAGATTTAACTTGGCAGACATGTAGACTAAACTAAAATACATAATTTTATATATCGGTTTTTTATTTTGAAAAACGGTGTTGCTGTTGTTACTATTGTTACTAAAAATAGAAAATTCTGTGAAATTCTTTTATACTGTTTAACGTCCCTCTCCAGAATATTTCACTGATATGGAGACGTCACCATTGCCGGTGAAGGGCTGCAAATTTGGGCACTCAGGGCCATTGAGCAGGGAGGGATCTTTATCGGGCCACACCTGCTGTGACACGGGGCCTCGGGTTATACGGTCTCATCCGAAGGACCGCCCAACTTAGTCGCCTTTTACGACAAGCAAGGGGTTACTGAGGACCTTTCTAACCCGGATCCCCACGGGGTTGCAGTACATAGAATTACATAATATTGTTATACCTTTAGAAATTTGTTCCTATACAATTTTATACGAAAAAAAGTCTAACATTTTTAATGTTTTGCTGAGCGGGCATAAAAAAATCGATGTTGGACCGCTGAGTGAGATGTTGGACCGCTCGGAGAGATGTTGGACCGCTTACGTCACAGAGTGGGCGGAGCTTTATCTCATTTTCATTCGCTGGTGTTAAACAGTGATAGATCTGGTGTTACATCACGGAATAAAGTACAAAATACATGTAAATAAAAAAATAATAAAATAAAATGAAAGGTATAACAAAACATTTATTGACAGAGTTGTCGGGCAAAATGCGTTTTGTCGAACCCTCGAACCAAACTGTCTGCCTTCGGCCTAAAGGCCTCAGGCAGACAGTTTGGTTCTTGGGTCCGACAAAACGCATGTTGCCCTCGAACTCAGTCAATAAATGTATAACTGTTGTGTTTACTGTATATAATGTTAGAACTTCAGCATACAATGTTAAAAGCACTTCATATAATGATAGATGTACATATTTACATCATATAATGAGAGAAGTACTGCATTTAATTGAGGTTGTACACGATATGATGTAAAAAACTACTTCATATGATAAAAATAGTATATAATGAAGGAAGCACTGCCTATATTAATCCTCATATAAAACAGTCCCGGCCTTCCATATGCCCGTATATATGTGATTATTGTTTACTGCATATTCATGAACAAACATTCAATACGATTGGTCAGTATTGTTAGTCGTATTGCTAAGTTCTGTATATCATATGCAAGTAGTTTTGGTTTCATTGAAGTCAAACATCCAGTTGATGAGTAATTCGGTAATCAACATGTGAAACTTGAGCACGCTCGATCAAACAAAGTGACACGCTGATATTAGAATGATAGTCATACTTCCACAGATTCTATAATTCAGAGTGTTATTGTGCACCTTTTATTTCTTTTTTTCATTAGAAAATTAAGCTTATTACAAGTCTTCCAGAGCAAAACATGGTCCTTGTCATTATACAGTTGTAACCATAAGGGAAGCGGGGTATCATTTGGTGAACTCAGTGTTCACAATAACTTCAATTTCTGAGGAAAAAATAAGTTTCGATTCCATGAATTTTTAATGTTAATGTAATCTATGGTTTTGGTTCCCAATGGGTATAACAGTTCTGCATTCATTAGGGCCCTGCAAGGATTTGCGGGTGCCCTATAGTAATTACTCTGTCCGTCCGTCTGTCTGTCTGTCCGTCTGTCACTCTTCCGTCCACAAATCTTCTGTTTTTTTCTAATAATTTTTTTGTGGTTGCCCAATCAGGTTCAAATTTAGCATGGTTGTTCAGTAGGCAGAAAGACGTATTTTGATGCTTAGTTTGGTTCTCTATGTCTTCTGGTTTGGAGCTGGGGTGGTGGGGTAGATTCCTTAACTATGCACAAGAGTGAATGGGAAACATTTTTATGGTTGCCCAATCAAGTTCAAATTTGATATGGTAGTTCAGTAGGAAGAAATACATATTTTTATGCTAAGTTTAGTTCTGTATGTCCCCTGGTTTGGAACTCGGGTGGTGGGGTAGATTCCTTAACTTTACATATTGAAGCATTGGCAAACGAGAGATAACTGCTGAAGATGTTTCCTTTGTAAACTGAATGCTGCTATGAATCCCTTGGGATTAATTAGCTTTCCCCCTGAAGAAAATCCAGAGCATTATCTTTATCTGTCAAATTGAGATGAATTACCACCTCTGTCTGCAAATGAAGTTTGTTTTCAAGTTAGGTCAATCTGCAATGCTATGAACACTCTGAAATGTGGATTTAAATGTAAATTTTTATAATTTATTTCTGTTCAATAGTTATGATTTCATGGAATTTTAATAAAAAGAAATAGATTAAAGAAGATTTTTTATTTACTTTTTTTCACTTTATGTTAATTCAATAATATTATTAATTTTTTTTTGATAGTTGTATAATATCTCATTCTACCATTGATACTGAAAAAGT